ATAATGTGACGGTCAATCCCACTATTCGTTGGTAAAAGAGTAGCCCAAGAGTTGGCGGTGGGTGGTGATGACTAGCTGCCTTCGACTCGCAATCTGAAGGTCGCGGGTTCGAACCCCCGTCCCTTCAAACATGCTCGCACTTTCAGCCGTGGGAGGGGGTTATAATGTGACGGTCAATCCCACTATTCGTTGGTAAGAGAGTAGCCCAAGAGTTGGCGGTGGGTGGTGATGACTAGCTGCCTTCCCTCTAGTCTTACACTACTAAATTAGGGACGGCAGATAGCCCTTTGCGCGAAATTCAAACAAACAAACCTAACCCTCTGGCTCTAACTTATTTATTACAGTTGATGTATGATCTCCGAAACGTACTACATCATCAACAGTTCATGTATTCTGTATTCATGTATTCCATACCCCTAAGATCTTGCTGAAATGGCACCACTGAATTACATTGTTTTACAATTGATGTATTTTTACGTCCGCAAATTCCTTACTTATAAAACTATAGAAATACACAGAAACAAGCTTGAGTTAAATCTTCTTTACGTATAGATAACCCAGTTAGTGTTATATTTAATTCATAGAAATACAGAGAAACAAGCTTGAGTTAAATCTTCTTTTACGTATAAGATAACCCAGATAGTGTTATATTTAATTCATAGAAATACAGAGAAACAAGCTTGAGTTAAATCTTCTTTTACGTATAAGATAACCCAGTTAGTGTTATATCTAATTCATAGAAATACAGAGAAACAAGCTTGAGTTAAATCTTCTTTAACGTATAAGATAACCCAGTTAGTGTTATATTTAATTCATAGAAATAAAGAGAAACAAGCTTGAGTTAAATCTTCTTTAACGTATAAGATAACCCAGTTAGTGTTATATTTAATTCATAGAAATACAGAGAAACAAGCTTGAGTTAAATCTTCTTTAACGTATAAGATAACCCAGTTAGTGTTATATCTAATTCATAGAAATACACAGAAACAAGCTTGAGTTAAATCTTCTTTAACGTATAAGATAACCCAGTTAGTGTTATATTTAATTCATAGAAATACAGAGAAACAAGCTTGAGTTAAATCTTCTTTAACGTATAAGATAACCCAGTTAGTGTTATATTTAATTCTATTCACGTTTCCATCCTTTAGATTAAGAACAGTTAAAATAAAAACTATACATTATTTTGAATTTATAGAGAGTTTTAAAAGAACTGCGCCTAATACAGCGTCAACGTTGCTCAAGAACAAAATCAAACTTTGATCGTAATAGAGCATCAACCTTCCTTCAGAATTAAATTCATCTTTTTATCTTAGAAAAAATTTTAAGGTCAATTTCCTTGATCTATAGTACGAAACTCTTAACACACTATTTTTTTTCCCGACGAACAAAAATCATTGTCAATTTACATTCACTTTTGTTTTGTAAGCATTTCTCATGCAGCAAGGTTTGTTAAAAAAGTTAACTCGTTAGATGATCCAATAAATCATCTAATGTTGCGTAACTTATTGTGGTTTTAACTGAAATAAAGGTAAAAGGCCTTTGTTTTCTGTTAAAATTGAGTAGTTAGTTCATGAATAAACCGTTTTATAAAACTGAAAATTTAATAAGTTTAAGATAAAAAATTCGCGTATTGAATAGTCTCAAATAAATATATATTTTTTAAATATATTCTAGTTATACGTTAGCGATAACGTCAAGTTTAGTTACGTTTTTATGTCATAAAAAAAACATGTTAACCAAGACCAAAACCTAACATTAATTTTCTTCTTGAACAAAGAATTATTTTCGAGAGAGCTGGAACACATTCGACTTCATTACTGTTGTTGGGAGTGTGGTGGATGCACTGGTGATGGAAATAGAGGTTGGTTCCCTTTTTAAAACATGTTTCATACAGCTGAGCTTTGTACTCGTACCTGAACTGATGTATAGTTGTGTGTTATGTTTTGTACTGGGATCACGTTCTTTGAATTAACATTGTTAACACTATATAACAATAATCAATCACGTTGTTTGTCCATATATGGTTGACACTATATAACAACAATCAATCACGTTGTTTGTCCATATATGGTTAACACTATATAACAATAATCAATCACGTTGTTTGTCCATATTTGGTTAACGTTATATATCAATAATCAATCACATTGTTTGTACATATATGGTTAATACTATATAACAACAATCAATCACGTTGTTTGTCCATATATGGTTAACGCTATATAACATTAATCAATCATGTTGTTTGTACGTGTATGGTTAACACTATATAACATTAATCAATCACGTTGTTTGTCCATATTTGGTTAACACTATATAACAATAATCAATCACGTTGTTTGTCCATATATGGTTAATACTATATAACATTAATCAATCACATTGTTTGTACATATATGGTTAACGCTATATAACATTAATCAATCACGTTGTTTGTCCATATTTGGTTAACACTATATAACATTAATCAATCATATTGTTTGTACGTGTATGGTTAACACTATATAACATTAATCAATCACGTTGTTTGTCCATATTTGGTTAACACAATATAAAAATAATCAATCACGTTGTCTGTCCATATATGGTTAACACTATATAATAATAACCAATCCGTTGTTTGTACATGTATGGTTAACATTATATGACATTAATCAATCACGTTGTTTGTCCATATTTGGTTAACACTATATAAAAATAATCAATCATGTTGTTTGTCCATATTTGGTTAACACTATATAACAATAACCAATCCGTTGTTTGTCCATATTTGGTTAACACTATATAACATTAATCAATCACGTCGTTTGTCCATATATGGTTAACAATATATAACAACAATCAATCACGTTGTTTGTCCATATATGGTTAACGCTATTTAACATTAATCAATCACGTTGTTTGTCCATATATGGTTAACGCTATTTAACATTAATCAATCACGTTGTTTGTCCATATATTGTTAACACTATATAACAATAATTTATGATAAAAAATGTGATAACTATTTATTATAGTTAAGTGAGGTACTGATGGTGATGGGTTATTTATTATAGTTAAGTGAGGTACTGATGGTGATGGGTTATTTATTATAGTTAAGTGAGGTACTGATGGTGATAGGTTATTTCCAAAACGTTGAGCTCATGTTTCTTACAATGATGTATCTTTTTGTTGCATGAACTACAAGGTTGGATATCAGCCCTCAACAGTTGGCCTACTCACCTTAAATAGGTGTTTTTTGTAAATCAAGTTTTTCAACGTGGATGGTATAGATTGTTACGAGATGTTCGTCGCATCAAACTTCTGCATCAGGTGAAAATATATTAATTGGTATTCTTTTTAGGTCAATTTCTTCAACGTGGGGTGGTTGAGACTTTTTCGAGCTGCTCGTCTCATCAAACTTCTGCGTCAGGGGTACACTATTCGCATCCTGCTGTGGACCTTCATTCAGTCTTTCAAAGTAAGTCTCTTTTTTTAGTTTATAACTTAAATTCGTATCTCTGTTCTTGATGAGGCCTAAACCACGACCGACCTTTAATTTTTTTTTCAAAATAACACGTTTACGTTCTTCCAGAGAAACCAAATTATATTGAAGTGTATGGGATAAAAACAACAAAAGTTTTATATTTTATTGGATGTTTTAAGTTAACTCGCTTATGGTTAAAACTTATATCACCATGAAGCTAAAGAGGTGTGTGTGTAACATTGTTCTGATATTACGAGCAACTTGCAATGTGTCAAACACTCCTGAAAAAAAAATGATTCGCAACGTAGAAAACATATTTCTACCTACAACACTCTTGGGAAGACCTATTTCTGTTTTTCATCATATCTCAGACCGAACTTGGCCCAGTGGTTATCGACCCCTGAATCTTTCGTTCTCGTCCTGTTACAGTCAGAGGGAAAATCTCCCTCCGCTCTTTGGGGGCCATGGGTGTACTACAATGGTGACGATGAAACTCCACTATATGGTCAGACAAGAGTTGGCGATGAATACTCTTGACCAGATCTCTTTCCTTTAACATATCAGCTGAAAATTAGGAACGGTTAGCACAGATAGTCCATGAGTAGCTTTGAGTGAGTATATCGAAAAAAAGATACCAAATCTCAACAATTCTGATAACGCCATCGTTTTGGTTTACTATTCTTTTGTCGGTGTAACTTTATAGTAGCCTAAAATAGGGGAATTAATTCTATAAGTTTCGATATAACGGAAGGACTGGCTTCCTTTAAGACAGCTCGCCAATTATTCGACCAACCAGAGATTGTTGTTAAATAGGTCGTCGTGTACCAGTTATAAACCTTCGTTTATTTATGTAACCACACTGGAGACAAGAATATCAAAAATTCTTAAATATTTTGTATAGAAACGAATATTAATATATCTAATGATGTTTTTGTGTTCATATTTTAGGCATTGCCCTATGTCTGTCTGCTCATTGCCATGCTTTTCTTCATCTACGCCATCATAGGAATGCAGGTAAGGAAGTTATTTGGTAGAACCCAGGGTTTTATATGGTTATATTATGTGTAACCTTTAACTTGTAAGGAGGTTATTTGGTGGAACCCAGGGTTTTAGATGGTTATATTATGTGTAACCTTTAACTTGTAAGGAAGTTATTTGGTAGAACCCAGGGTTTTTAGATGGTTATTTTATGTGTAACCTTTAACTTGCAAGGAAGTTATTTGGTAGAACCCAGCGTTTTAGATGGTTATTTTATATGTAACCATTAACTTGTAAGGAAGTTATTTAGTAGAACCCAGAGTTTTAAATGGTTATATTATGTGTAACCTTTAACTTGTAAGGAAGTTATTTGGTAGAATCCAGGGTTTTAGATGGTTATATTATGTGTAACCTTTAACTTGTAAGGAAGTTATTTGGTAGAACCCAGGGTTTTAGATGGTTATATTATCTCTAACCTTTAACTTGTAAGGAAGTTATTTGGTAGAACCCAGGGTTTTAGATGGTTATTTTATGTGTAACCTTTAACTTGCAAGGAAGTTATTTGGTAGAACCCAGAGTTTTAGATGGTTATATTATGTGTAACATTTAACTTGTAAGGAAGTTATTTGGTAGAACCCAGGGTTTTAAATGGTTATATTATATGTAACCTTTAACTTGTAAGAAAGTTATTTGGTAGAACCCAGGGTTTTAGATGGTTATATTATGTGTAACCTTTAACTTGTAAGGAAGTTATTTGGTAGAACCTAGGGTTTTAAATGGTTATATTATGTGTAACCTTTAACTTGTAAGGAAGTTATTTGGTAGAACCCAGAGTTTTAGATGGTTATATTATGTGTAACCTTTAATTTGCAAGGAAGTTATTTGGTAGAATCCAGGGTTTTAGATGGTTATATTATGTTTAACCTTTAACTTGTAAGGAAGTTATTTGATAGAACCCAGGGTTTTAGATGGTTATATTATGTGTAACCTTTAATTTGTCAGGAAGTTATTTGGTACAACCCAGGGTTTTAGATGGTTATATTATCTCTAACCTTTAACTTGTAAGGAGGTTATTTGGTAGAACCCAGGGTTTTAGATGGTTATATTATGTATAACCTTTAACTTGTAAGGAAGTTATTTGGTAGAACCCAGGGTTTTAGATGGTTATATTATGTGTAACCTTTAATTTGTCAGGAAGTTATTTGGTAGAACCCAGGGTTTTAGATGGTTATATTATGTGTAACCTTTAACTTGTATGGTGATTATTTACCAGGTCGATACTTTCGTATCACTATTGGTGATAAGAAAAATTTGTGTCCTGAAGTTGATATCGTAATATGTCATAAAGTAGCATCTTGATATCATAGAATACTCAGTTGCTACAAAATACTGTCCAGGTAACATAACGTATTATCTTGACTTTCAGGCTCATTGTTGTATTATGATGTACTCTTTTTATGGCTGCAAGTATTACTTAATATTGTGGGCTATGTTTTAATAACTGTTTTGTTAGATTGTAGCTCTTACATAATACATAAAAAATATAACGAGCATTTCTGTAAATTGTGTAATGTTAAACCAGCAAGCACAAAAGAAAATCAGTAGTACTATTTTTTGTTCTACCGTATCTATATGTCTAATTCTAAGTGTCTAGTTGCTAGTTTATTGATTCATTAATCGAAACTTTAAAACAAGTGTTGACACGGAAATGTTTTAGTTTCAGTTTTACCTATTCTCCAACCCTATTCCAGCTACTAAATAAATTCCAAAGCCATTTAACTCAGTCGTATTATGTATTCTTGCCCTTCCATCATTGATTTTCACTATTATGAGTGCTATAATATTGTTTGTATTTATATACTTTCTTATATAACTGAATCTCTATGGAGTATGATCTGAAGAAAGCAAGTTCAATTAAGTTAAACAAGATAAACACTCCAATGGTAAGAAAGCCCTTAGTGTCAGAATCAATATGAATTCTTTTAAGAAACAGTCCCCCACATCATAATGTTTTTTTTTCTTTTCTTGCCTTATTTTTTTTTTTTTTTTGTTCTCTCCTACCTCCTTGAAAGATGCTTCTAGAAAGATTTCTCTACTCCTCCTCTGATGTTTCCCTACCCATCCTTGGCTTCTTTTTCACCACCAGCTAGACACTTGAGAAATCCAGTGTCAACCAGACACCGATATCTTGCATCATCAGCTTCCAATCCTTCTTACTTTTTCTGATGCCTTTGTGTAGGTGAGTTCAACACCAGAGGGCGTCGGTAGACAAATGGTCTTTAGAATCGTTGTTGTATTTTCAGCATCTGAAGAAAAAACTTTTTGAATTTTTCAAATCTAAAGGAGACATTTTGATTTCCAAAATTCGTTTGTTTTTGTTTATTTTCTGAATTGCACTAATATTGAAAACACTCTGCAAATATTTTTATTGCAAACACCAGCTAACGTTTTAAACTCCACTAACTAATCTTTCGCTAAGGTACAACCACAAAATCTCATAGTTTAGTTACAATCTAAATATTAGATTGTGAACCAAGTTTTATCGAAAATAATGGAGATTGTTAGAAAGTCGATTGGCCAAGAACCCCCCAAACCACGTTTTATTTTAGCACATTTTGTTCCCTCTTTGTCTGCTTGCTTGTTTGTTTGACTGCTTGCGGCCCTCTCAACTGAGCATTAGTACCAAGTTTCTGTTTGCTTGTTGTCCTCGTGTCACCAATTACAATTAGTTTTGTGTGTTGAATATTAGTTGTACATTATAGCTAGTGTATGTGTAGAAGTAGAATGTATTAGGCCTAGTGATTAACGATGTAGTGGTACTAACTGTTTTCAACATCCTTCCTTCCCCAAAATTAGGTTTTCGGTAATATCGCCCTCAATCCTGAAACCTCAATTATGCGCCATAATAACTTCCGCAATTTCTTCCAAGGACTCATGCTGCTCTTCAGGCAAGTTTCTTCTTCATCTGGTCTGCCCGCCCTGCACGTCAGTTCGCATCGTATTCAAATAATAGACGGAATCTTGTCATTTCTTTTATTTACTTATACATCCTAGTTTATCTGTCCAACAAATAAGTATAGGACTCTTCTTTAATATATATGCTTTCCGAGAGAAGGTTTGGTTTTACTTCAGAAATTCGAATCTAAATTTAAATTCAGTTGAATATTTTCTCTCCAATCGAATAACTGTTAATAAATAACTTAGTTTGGGATATCTAACTATCTTATTAAAAGTTGTTTGTAAATTTGGGTGTCATTTGAAAGCTAACACTTTGAAACAGTCATTCACGTTCAACGAGTGTTATTGTTGGTGTTGTAAGATAGCCAATTACACGTGTGAAAACAGGGGTTACGTCACGTATAAACCTTCATTTTCTTTAAACAAAATGGCGTGTCACAAAGAAATTCTAGTTCAATTTGTTATCAACCGTGATAAGCAAACGTGAGGTCGAAAGATTAACAACAGTTATTTCTTCACCGAATACATAAATAATACCAGTTAACATAGTTTGTAAATTACATCAAAAATAAACGTGTTTTTCCCCCCCTCCTAAACTGAGTAATTAGTTGTAATGTTTTAACAGCATGCATGAAGCACTTCTAAATTCCTTCATTTTTTGACATCTACGGATGTATGTGGATATTCCATGGTGAACTAAGGTTCGTTTTGATTATCTTGTGAGTGTTTTTGATTCAGTTTGACTCGAGAAGAGTTTTATATGCTGGAAACTATGAAATGAATGTAATACAAATCTAATATGGTTGATAGAGGCTGTTTAATTAAAGTTTTCGCTAACTAGAGCTTACTGAGTTTATATTGTTCGATACTTGACAAACTCCATCAAGACCACTGGGTTGGATTACAAGTTCGATGTTTAGCAGTAAGCAGTTCCGGTTCGTCAGTGTCTGATTATTACCTCATCAGACAATAAACATTTCAAAGGCACTTTTCTGATATTGGGTGTTAACTTTTTTTTTTTAACTCTCCAAACAGCACCTTGGTATTGGCACCATTTTAATACATTGAATGTTCAACGTCCGGAAATAGCCATGCACCTCAAAATACAACTGTATTGTATGAATAAAACCAGCCTTAGCTGGGTGTAAGTTATTAACCAGATCTAAGGAATTTCCACTGAACGAAATGTCTTCATTACAAAACATTACACAGGACAAAGGACGAAACAATATTGATAAACAACGTCAACTGATTTTATTTATTGGGTATTAAACCAACAGTGTAATTTATTTCCTTACATTCTTACAGCTTCAATTGTTTGCAGAGCTTAATATGATACACAGTACTAGTGTAACTGGTGCATACACTGCTCTGGTACGAATGTAACCCCCGTACATACTTCTACTATATAAAACCTGGTACATAACTCTAAAGTGTAACCCCATAAACTACACTAGAAAACCCAGAAACACAGCTATAGTGTGTAACCCCGTACATAGTTCTACCATAGAAAACTTGGTACATAACTCTAAAGTGTAACCCCATAAACTACACTAGAAAACCCAGAAACACAGCTATAGTGTGTAACCCCGTACATAGTTCTACCATAGAAAACCTGGTACATAACTCTAAAGTGTAACCCCATAAACTACACTAGAAAACCCAGAATACAGGTATAGAGTGTAACCCCGTACATAGTTCTACCATA